CTTATGTCTCCTTGAAATGGTATGCTATGCCCCTAGGTATACTAGTTTCTCATAGAAAAAGACGCTGTGCCATTTGTTTTATTGTTTGCTTTTGTTTTGAGTCATAGTCTCACTCTGTAACTCAGGCTGGAGTGCAGTGGCATACTCACAGTCATTGCAGCCTCAACCTGCTGGGCTCAGGTGATCCTTCTGCCTCAGCCTTCCATGTAGCTGAAACCACAGGCGCACGCCATCATGCCTGACTAATTTTTTGATTTATTGTAGAGACAAGGTCTCGCCAAGTTGCCAAAGCTGGTCTCAAGCACCTAAACTCAGGAAATCCTCTCACCTTCACCTCCCAAAGTGCTGGGATTACAGGCATGAGCCACCATGTCTGGCTCACTGTGTCATTTGTATTATAAAAATAACTCTGCTGGGCTCGGTGGCTCAGCCTGTAATCCCGCACCTTTGGGAGGCTGAGCTGAGTGGATTGCCTGAGCCCGCAGGTTTGAGACCCGCCTGGGGAGCGAGACCTCATCTCTACAAAAAGTCAGCCGGGCGTGGTAACGCATGTCTGTAATTCTGGCTACTCGGAAGGCTGAGGCAGAAGGATCGCTGGAACCCAGCAGGCAAGGCTGTAGTGGCCGGGAGCGGCCACTGCACTCCAGTCTGGGCGACAGAGTGAAGTTCCAACTAAAAAAAAATAAAAATTAAAACAAAACAAAAAAAAACAACTCATTTTCAGGCAGGCACAGTGACTCATGTCTGTAATCCCAGCACTCTGAGAGGCTGAAGCAAAAGGAATTCTTGAACTCCAGAGCTGGAGACCAGCCTGGGCAATATAGTAAGATTTCATCTATACAAAAAGTACAAAAAAATTAGCTGGGCGTGGTGATACATACCTGTTTTCCCAGCTATTCAGGAGGCTAGGATGGGAGGATTGCTTGAGTCCAGGGGGTTGAGACTACAGTGAGCCAGGATGGCACCACTGCGCTCCAGACTGGGCAATAGAGTAAGACCCTGTCTCAACCAAAAAAACAAAAACAAAAACATTATTTTCTTTTTTGTTTGTTTGTTTGTTTGTTTTGAGTTGAAGTCTCACTCTGTCGCCCAGACTGGAGTGCAGTGGCTGCTCCCGGCCACCGCAGCATCCACCTGCTGGGCTCCGGCGATCCTTCCGCCTCAGCCTTCCAAGTAGCTGGAACTACAGGCACGCGCTACTACGCCCGGTTAATTTTTTGATTTATTGTAGAGATGAGGTCTCGCCTGCCGAGGCGGGTCTCGAACCTGCGGGCTCAGGCAATTCACTCACCTCAGCCTCCCAAAGACAGGGGATTACAGGCTGAGCCACCGAGCCTGGCAAAACATTATTTTCAATTCACATACTTCTCTCTATCAGTTTCTCTTCTTTTTATGCTTCTCTCCCCTGAGGCACTCTCACCAGGCTTCATTTAATTATACTATAACTTAAAAAATGATACTGCATCTACTGGAAGCAAACAGAATATCCTAGTCACCTATAACTAATTTAGTTTTCCTTGTCCTTAACACAGGGGTCAGAAAAATATAGCCCACAAGTCAAATCTGACCTGCCATCTGTTTTTGTACAGTCCTGTAAAAGAATAGTTTTATTTTATTTTTTTAAATGGTTGGACATGGTGGCTCATGTCCATAATACTAACACTTTGGGAGGCTGAGGGTGGAGGATCACTTGAGTCCAGGAATTTGAGACCAGCCTGGGCAACATAGCAAGACCACATCTCTAAAAAAAATTTTTTTTTTAAAATTAGCCGGGTGTGGTGGTGCACGCCTGGCCTGTAGTCCCAGCTACTCAGGGAGTTGAGGAGGGAAGATCCCTTGAGCCCAGGAGTTCGAAGCTGCGGTAAGCTGTGATCATGCCACTGCCCTTCAGTCTACACAACAGAGTGAGACCCTGATTCAATAAATAAATAAATAAATGAAGAATGGTTTTACGTTTTTAAGTGGTTGGGGAAGAAAAATCAAAAGAATAATATTTTATAACATTTGAAAATGAGCCGGGCTCGGTGGCTCAGCCTGTAATCCCGCGCCTTTGGGAGGCTGAGATGAGTGGATTGCCTGAGCCCACGGGTTCGAGACCCGCCTGGGCAACTTGGAGAGACCTCATCACTACAATAACTCAAAAATGAGCCGGGCGTGGTAGCGTACGCCTGTAGTTCCAGCTACTTGGAAGGTTGAGGTGGAAGGATTGCCAGAGCCCAGCAGGTCGAGGCTGCGGTGGCTGGCAGCGGCCACTGCACTCCAGTCTGGGCAACAGAGTGAGACTCCAACTCAAAAAAAAAAAAAAAAAAAAATCAAAAGAATAATATTTTATAACATTTGAAAATGAGCTGGGTTCGGTGGCTCAGCCTGTAATCCCGCGCCTTGGGAGGCCAAGGTGAGTGAATTGCCTGAGCCTGCAGGTTCGAGATCCGCCTGGGCAACTTGGCGAGACCTCATCTCTACCATAAATCCAAAAAAATTAGCCAGGCGTGGTAGCGCACACCTATAGTTCCAGCTACTTGGAAGGCTGAGGCAGAAAGATCACCAAGAAAGAAAGAAAAGAAAAGAAAATGATATGAAATTCAAATTACTTTTTTTTCCGAGTTGGAGTCTCACTCTGTCGCCCAGACTGGAGTGCAGTGGCCGCTCCCGGCCACCGCAGCCTCAAC